CTGCCTGGGATTCTCTCTCTCCTTCTCTCTGCCCCTCCCCTGACTCTTGCTTTCTCTCTCAAAATAAATAAGTAAACTTATAAAAAAAATACATATATAACCCAAGTCTGAAGTTCAAACTCCAATGTACTTGATATATATCTGATATTACACATTCTGTTAAATTCCTTTTAGATGAAATAAAATCTAAACTCCTAAGTAACAGCATTTTCAGGACTTTGAGAAGTACAGACAAATATAAAATCAGATGTGTGAACCCCACAAGCTAGAGGGTAGAGTAGATACAGTAACGCTCTCTCCCTACGTATCCACACTGTAATCCCCAGAAACTGGGAATATGCAGAAGGAATTAAGGTTTCTAATATGTTGATTTAGAGACAGGGAGATTATTCTGGATAATCTGGATGAGTCCAACATAACCACAAAGGTCCTTATAAGTGGAAGAAGAATTTAAAGGTAAAGTCAATGAAAACAGAACCAAGGTTGAAGTGAAAAAATGTGAGGACTCAACCGGTCACTGCTGGTTTGAGGACACAGGGTGGCCTCTGGAAGCTGGAGAGGCTAGAGGATTCCATCCGAGAGCCTCCAGGAGGAATGCGGCCTTGCCAACACCTGGATATCATTTTGCCTGGGGAGACTCATTTTGCACTTCTGACCTCGGGAGCTGGAGGGCAATAAATCTGTGTTGCTTCAAGCAACTGAAGTAGCCCGGCAGAGCAGGCCGCTGCGCGCCCACAGGCTCGCCTCCCACAGCAGTGTGCCGGCCGGGTTACTGCACATTTTTGGTACCTAGATCAGGGAACATTAATAATGGAGGTTTTCTTAAACCAAGAAGTACTGTCTATACCACTTTTTTCCTGGCATTTTAGCTAATGACGTTACCATCCACCCAGGAATACGAAACACTGGGATCATCGCTGACTCTCATCCTGCCCTTTACACCCCTGACACCAGACCAACTAACCAATCTTTAATCCCTTTCAATTTTAACATCAACATTTCCTTTCTTTCTTCTTTAGGTGTTTGTTTATTTTTGAGAGAGACTGAATGAGAGTGGGGGAGGGGCAGAGAGAGGGGGACACAGAATCCGAAGCAGCTCCAGGCTCTGAGCTGTCAGCACTGAGCCCGACGCGGGGCTCGAACCCACGAACCGTGAGACCATGACCTGAGCAGTAACTGAGAGTCAGACGCTAAACCGACTGAACCACCCAGGCGCCTACCCACCTATTTTTATTTTTAAATTTTAATTCCAGTACAGTAACACCCAGTGTGATGCTGGTCTCAGGCCGACCCTGCAGTGACTCAGCGCTCTCACGCGTCACCCGGTGCCCACCACGGGTGCTCTCCTCTGTCCGCCCGTCACCCTGTCACCCACACCGGGCCCCTCCCTTCTAGTGGCCACGCGTGTGTTCTCTAGAGTGAAGACACGGTTTCTTGGTGTGGCTCTATAGTTTTCCCTTTGCTTGTTTGTTTCTTAAAGTCCACAGGTGAGGGGTCACGTCCCCTCGCAACTCTGAAGCCCACAACAATTTACATACGAGAGTAACTCTGCGGTTTCTTTGTGCCATTTGGTGGCCCAACGGCAACCCGGCAGGGAATGGAGGAGTTTCTGGGCAGCAGTGACGGTTCTGTGTCATATCACAGAGGTGGACACACGTCACCAGACAGTTATGCAGACCCCTAAACGCACACCCCCACGAGTGAGCCTCAACGCAGCTAGGACTTCGGGCAATGATGGTGCCGGTGGAAGTTCAAGCGTTACAGTAACATGCACTGCGGGGCAGGGTGTAGACTCTGGGGCGCTGCGTGGGCAGGGGGTGTACGCAGACCCTCCGTACTCTAATACCAATTCTGCTGTGAACCTAAAACTGCTCTGAACAACTCTTCCATAACTAAAAAACCAAAGGAAAAAACCTGCAAAATTGCCAGCAACAAGAACCAGCCAGCCCATAAAGACATCCTGGCCTCATGGTTTGGAAAAATGCAGACATGTATCAATTTGATCAATTTCTTTAAAATATTCCAGAAGAGGGCCGCCTGGGTGGCTCAGTCCGCGAGGTGTCCGGCTCTTGGTTTCGGCTCAGGTCATGATCTCATGGTTCATGAGCTTGAGCCCTGTGTCCATCCAGCTCTGTGCTGACCACGTGGAACCTGCTTGGGATTCTCTCCCCGCCTCTGCCCCTCCCCTGCTTGTGTGCTCTCTCTCAAAATAGGGAAACTTAAACAAAAATACAATACTCCAGAATAAACCATTTTCTTCCTATTTATTTTTAAAATATTTATTTATTTATTTATTCATTTATTTTGAGATAGAGAGAGAGAATCCCAAGCTGGCTCTGCATTGTCAGCATAGAGCCTGGTGCAGGGCTCAAACTCACGGACTGTGAGATCACCACCTGAACCGGTATCTAGAGTCAGATGCTTAATACACTGAGCCTCTCAGGGCCCCGCCCCCCCCTTATTTCTAAGAGGTGAATAGCTAGTTCTAACATAAACAAGGTAATACCTTAGTCCTGTTTCAGAGTGGAAGACTTCTGTCTGACCAGAGACATTTTAAAACGCTGATGTGGTTGAAGATACGGATCTTTTGATTCCCAGTCTGACTTTATTGTTAATCTCCCATTTTTAGGGATTTCATCCGGAAAAACTACATTAATAGAAAAATTGAACTTAAATTTTTTTAGCAGAAAACTTGATAAACATTTGTTTTCTCTATTCAGCAAAAACACTGCTTAAAATTATAACTGAAAAAAAAATAGCTCTTTCCAAAATACACTTCCATTTTCTCACTTGTCGCGACTGCATGCTAATTTTTTCAGGCATCATCAACCGGAATATTACCTGTTATTTCCCAGCCTGAAGTGTGGCTACACGATTACGCTCTGGCCATGGTCTATACGTGAGGTTCTGAACTCTCCTTTCTTTGCCAGCCTGGGCCGCTACAACACATTCCCAGACTGGGGGGCATAAACGACACATTTTTATTTCTCAGTCTTCTGGAGTTGGGGTGTGCGAGAGCGGGGTTGAGTTCCAGGGAGAACCCCTCCCCGGCACGCAGTGCCGCCTTCCTGCCGCTCCTCATACGCTGGAGGGCGGCCGTCTCCCTGTTTCTTCTTGCGAGGCCACTAATCCTGCTCCCGAAGGGCAGTGCCCTCATGACCTAATTACTTCCCAATGTCCTGCCTCCAAACAGCGTCACACCGGGGATTGGGGCTTCAAATGACCAATGTGGGTGGGGGTGGGAAGATGTGCTCACTTCACACTGCTTCCTTCTGAAGACGGGAGACACTCCTTCCTCCCTCTCCTCTCTTCTGCTTCTACAGTGAAGACCTCACGGCTGGAGTCTAGCAGCTATGACAGAACAAGAAGTAACACAGAAACGGAAGCCTCACGCTGAAGTGGAAGGGCAGAAACCACGGAGGCTACATCCCCGAGGAAGCCGTGATGACACCATATTAACCACGAAGTTTGTGCTTTGTAACATTAAAAGAAATTTTTTTTACCATTTATTCATTTTTGAGAGACAGAGACAGAGCATGAGCTTGGCAGGAGCAGAGAGAGAGGGGGAGACACAGAATCGGAAGCAGCTCCAGGCTCCAGGCTCCGAGCTGTCAGCACGGAGCCCGACGCGGGGCTCGAACTGAACTCACCAGCTGTGAGATCATGACCTGAGCTGAAGTCAGACGCTTAACCGACGGAGCCACACAGGCACCCCCTGTAACATTTTTTAAGTTAAAGGAAAAGAAATGTGTATCTTCTTGAATTCTTGGGTATTTGAATTTCCTATTCATCTGCAACTTATACACTTAATGAGTAAAACATTTTCATGATCCAAGAAGCAAGAATAGGGTACAAAGAGCTTACGTGGTATGTACCTCAGCGGCCAATCAATAGAACATCTTTTCAATGCAAACTAAGGTGCTGTGGCTTTTACACGCAGACACTCTAACCCCAAAGCAGATACAGCTCGAAAATCTAATCTTTCCTTCAGACCCTCATGACCTCACGGTGGACACCGAGTGCTGCCGCAGCCCTGTCACGCGCTGTCACTAGTTATCCGAAAACACACGACACACATGCACTTGGCCTTTCGTACAGATATCATGTTGGGGCACCTGGCTCAGCCGGGTGGGCAACTGACTGGGGGCACTTGGGTCACGATCTCCTAGTTTGCAAGTCTGAGCTCCGTGTCGGGCTCTGTGCTGATGGCAAGGACCCTGCTTGGGATTCTCTCTCCCTGCCCCTCCCCCACTGGAGTTCTTTCATTTTCTTCCTTGCTCTCTCTCTCAAAATAAGTAAACTTAAAAAATTATATCATGTTTATACTCAACGACCAGTCAGTGATGTCTCTTTCAGGCTCTACACATTCTGTTTTTTCTTTTTAAAGACTTTATTTTTTAGTAATTTCTATACCCAACACGGGGCTCAAACCCACAACTCCAAGACCAAGAGTCACATGCTCTGCCAACTGAGCCAGCCGGGTGGCCCCGGGCTCTACATATGCTTAATGAAAGCGCTTCTTAAGGTGAACCTCCCCTAGGGAACAGGGCATTCGTACAAGGAGCGTATCTCACGCATGCAGCAGTGCTTGAAAATACAGAAAACAGTCAATCAATGAGGAATGAATGTAGAAAATCATTAAGATCATTTTAGATACCCACATAGTACCATTTTTATTATTTTTAAAAAAGAAAAAAAAACCACTCGAAAGACAGAGAGAAGATAAAGATCAGGGAAGATGCTGAAACTCCTATTACACTAAATGCTGACTAGAATTTAAATGAGAAATTGAAACAAAGACAACCCACGAGGTCAGGAAGGTGGGCAGCGGCCCGCACGCGCAGTGCCGGGAGCGCCGGGGACGCTGTGGGCTGTGTGCTGAGGTCAGTGCTCGTGGGCCCTGCCTTCCCACGGTGTTTCCTGAGAGTCAGAGCACTGTTTCAAGCACGGACGAGGAACTGGTCTTTAAGACATGCCGGCTGACAGGTGCGACTACTTACTCTGCAGTTTTGTAAACGTCAGAATACAGCCCTGCTTTCTGATACTTCTTCTTTGGGGGGCGGGGGGCCTTCTTCTCCCTTGGGATGAGAGAAAGCACGGGCTGCAAGGTACTCTCAGGTTCGGGAGGCTTGGCTGGGGTTTCAGGAGGACCAGGAATCTCAACTGTTGTTTCAGTAAAGCTAGAAAGAGAGTTTAAAGGGAATTTTTATTATTATCTATTAAAAACACATCACAGCAAGTAAAACACGAGACACGGCACTTCCTCATCTGACTGTGATGGCGTAACAGATGCCAGACCGGTCCTCCCGACAGAAACGGATAGAAACAGAGTAAACTACTCTCAACCTGGAGAAAGTCCAGGACGCCTGGGTGGCGCAGCTGGTTAAGCGTCTGGCTTCCGGCGCATGTCGGGATCTGGCGGTTCGTGAGTTTGAGCCCTGAGTCGGGCTCCGTGCTGACGGCTCAGAGCCTGAAGCCTGCCTCCGATTCTGTCTTGCTCTTTCTCTGCCCCTCCCCCCTTGCACTCTGGCTCGGTCTCTCGCTCTCTCTCTCAAAAATAAACAAACATTAAACCTGGAGAAAGGTTAGAACACAATGGTCAGACACCGAACAACACTGCCGGACTGTGATCACCGAGGACGACGACGGAGGGAGCGGAGCCACAGCACAGAACAGCCAGGGGAGGCGAGAGACAGAGATGCTGGGGGCCCTGGGGCCGGCGAGGAGAAAGCCACGGAGGAAAGGAATTCTAGGCTCAAGTCCGGGTGGCGCACATGCAGGGTGAGGTTCTCTCGGGCCGGACAAGGGACTGCCAGAGCGCTGTGACCTGAGCACGCGTGAGAGCCCGCACGCGGCGGTCGGCACTCAGAGCCCACCGGGCAGCGCGGGGAGGCACTGGCCGCCACCGGGGCGCTCCACAGACAGCCCGGCGGGGAGTGCCACCCAGTTTCATAGGCCTCAACTATCCCTAGAATAAAGACCAACACTAATAAAGCTTAAAAACAGTTTTCAAAAGAATCTAAACTGAACCACAAGTAACGTAACTGCCTACTTAAAAAAAACATGAACATTTGGAAAAAAACAAAAACCAGATACACAATTATGTGACATTTACAACATAAAGAAATTTATAATGAGAAAACCTCAAAGGTTAATGGCCAAATATTTTTCAAATTTGATAAAAAGTATAAGCTCAAAGTTCCAAGAAGCTAAACAAACCATAAACAGTATAAACTCTAATATATAACAAGGTATATCACAGTAAATTGCTAAAAACTACTGAAAAAATTTAAAAAGCCAAAGGAAAAAATACATGATCTATACAGGAGTACAGACATTAAGAATGGGGATTTCCTGTTGAGGCTGCAAGGCTGAAGGCAAGGGGTGACATCCGTAAGTGCTGGCGGAGGGAAGGTTTGTCCAACCAGAGTCCCAAGTCAATCAAGCACATTTTTAAATGTTTATTTATTTCTGAGAGAGAGAGAGAGAGAGAGAGAGGGAGAGAGAGGGAGAGAGAGAGAGCACGCGCGCACAGAGGAGACAGGGAGAGAGAATCCCAAGCAGGTCCCGATGCGGTCAGCGGAGAGCCCCACTCGGGGCTGCAACTCAAGAACTGCGAGATCACGACCTGAGCCGAAGTCGGACGCTTAAGTGATTGAACCACCCAGGCGCCCCATCTGGGGGGCTCAGTCACTTAAGCGTCCGACTTTGGCTCAGGTCATGATCTCACAGTTCTTGAGTTCCAGCCCCGCGTTGGGCTCTGTGCTGACAGCTCAGAGCCTGGAGCTGCTTCTGATTCTGTGTCTCCCTCTCTCTCTGCCCCTCCCCCACTCACATTCGCTGTCTCTCTCCTTCTCTCTCAAAGATATATAAACATTAAAAAAATTTTATTTTTAAATCGTTAAAAATTAAATTGATTCCAGTTCCAGGCAAAGACGGAATAGATACTACCACTTATCCTTGCACTACGTAGAAGGAAAGGCCTGGAAATTACATATAAAATAAAAATAAGCAAACAGATTGGTTAGGGACCTTGGAACCAAAGCAATGAGATGGCAGGGAACTTGCTAGATGTTCTTCTGCCTCCTACTCAATACTGAGAGACTAAGCAGTTTCCTTCATATCAAGGACCAGGAAAATGTCTGCTGTCATCACACATTCAGCATCACAGAAGAAGTTCTAGCCAGGGCAAAAACGGGGAGGAAAAGAAAAAATCCGGAAGTGTCTGTTCTCTGATTTTATAGATTTTAAAAACTGTTTTGAGGGGCGCCTGGGTGGCTTAGTCGGTTAAGCATCCGACTTTCACTTAGGTCATGGTCTCGCGGTTCGTGGGTTCGAGCCCCGTGTCGGGCTCTGTGCTGACTGCCAGCTCAGAGCCTGGAGCCTGTTTCAGAGTCTGTGACTCCCTCTCTCTCTGACCCTCCCCTGTTCACGCTGTCTCTCTCTCTCCTAGAAATAAATAAAAACATAAAAAAAATAAAAAAAAAAACTGTTTTGACTACTTGGGATTCCTTGAGATTCCTTATGAATTTTAGAATGAATTTTTCTATTTTCTCACACACACATGCGCACACACACACACACGTCACTGGGGTGTTGCACTGAACTTGTAGGTCACTCTGGGTTGTTCTGATGTCGTAACAACATTCAGTCTTCCACTCCATGAACATGGGCTGTCTTTCCATTTATTTATGTCTTCTTTACTTTCACTGAACAATGATTTGTAGTTTTCAATGTGTAAGTTTTGCCTTACTAAGTTTACTTTTAAGTATTCTATTCTTTTTGATGCTACTGTAAGTAGAACTATTTTCATAATTTCTTTTTTAGGAAACTGTCAGAGTATAGAAACACAACTGATTTTGTGTTTTCAAGTTTGCTGAACTTGTTCAATAGCTTTAACAGCTGTTTTGTTTGAGACCTTTAAGGATTCATGTAAGATCATGGCCTCTGTGAACACAGCTCATTTTACTTTTTCCTTTACACTTTGGATGCCTTTTACTTCTTTTTCTTGCCTTCCTTCTTCAGTCAGGAATTTGAATACTAGGCTGAATTAAAGTGGAAAAAGTGGGCATTCTCCCTCATGCCTCATCTTAGGGGAAACACTCTGAATCTCTCACCATGGACAATGTTAGCTGTAGAGATGTTTCTGGTATATGGCCTTTAATATGTTGAGGTAGTTTATCTGTTCCCAGACTGCTTAGAGTTTTTATCATAAACATGTTAGAGTCTGTGAAATTATGTTTCTACATTTATTGATATGAATGTGTGATTTTTCTTCTTTAGCTTTTTGATGTGATGAAGAACCATAACAGGATTTTAGATGTTGAATAAGCCTTGGGGCACGTGGGTAGCTCAGTAGGTTAAAAGACTGACTTCGGTTCAGATCGTGATCTCACAGCTCGTGGGTTCGAGCCCCGCGTCAGGCTCTGTGCTGATAGCTCAGAGCCTGGAACCTGCTTCTGATTCAGTGTCTCCCTCTCTCTCTGCCCCTCCCCCAATCATGCTGTCTCTGTCTCTCAAACATAAATGTTAAAAAACATTTTTTAAGATGCTGAACAAGTGTTTTATAACTGGGATAAATCATACTTAGTACTTGGTAACAGGATCAATCAATCTATCTATTGAATCAATTAACTTATTTTGTTTGATTGATTGCTGTTCTTATTGGACAAATTCATTTCTACCTCTGTGCCTTATCTTATTTCTTTTTTCTGCAATCAAAGACGTTTTCTGCTTTCCTGGTTATCACCTGCATATATAAATTCTCTCAGTGCCATGTTTCTCCAAGTGCTGGCCATCGACTACACACATCAGAATTGCCATGAGGGCGTCTAAGACATGCAAATACCCGTCCACAGAATTTTTAGAAATCCTCATTAGTAAAGTCTGAATGGAGAGCATCCAACCCTTGCTGGTGTCTATACCCAGCACTGGGCACCCTCTTCACAAGAACATCCATCTCATTCGACGCAGACTCTGACCCCTGGGCTGGGTTGATGCTCTCCCCACTTCATCCCAGGGCCCAACTCCTCACTCCATTAAATCTCCAACAGCCAACTCAGGGTCACCATGGTTTCTATACCCCCTGTGGATACCTATACCTAATGGCTTTAAGACTGAATTTTTCAGGGCGCCTGGGTGGGCGCAGTCAGTTAAGTGTCTGACTCTTGATTTTGACTCAGGTCATGATCTCATGGTTCATGAGGTGGAACCCCATGTCTGGCTCTGCATTGTCAGGGGAGAGCCTGCCTGGGATTCTCTCTCTCTCAAAATAAATGAACGTTAAAAAAAAGAAAAAAACCTGAATTTTTCTTTTTCAATTTTTTTTATGTTTATTTTTGAGAGAGAGAGAGAGAGAGAGAGGTGGGCGGAGGGTCAGAGAGAGAGGGAGACACAGAATCTGAAGCAGGTTCCACGCTCTTGAGCAGTCAGCACAAAGCCTGACGCAGGGCTTGAACTCATGAACCACGCAATCATGACCTGAGCCCAAGTTGGACACCAATCGAATGAGCTACCCAGGCACCCAAAGTCTGAATTTTTCATGAAAGGAAAGAGGAAGAGGTAATGCACATTAAAGCATGGTTTCATGACAGGGTGCCTGAGTGGCTCAGTGGGGTATGCATGCAACTTTGGCTCAAGTCATGATCTCACGATTCATGGGTTCAAGCTCCACGTCAGGCTCTAGAGCCTGGAGCCTGCTTCAGATCTGTGTCTCCCTCTCTCTGCCCCTCCCCAGCTTGCGCTCTGTCTCTCTCTCAAAAATGAATAAACATTAAAAAAGTATATGGTTGGGGTGCCTGGGTGGCTTAGTTGGTTAAGCGTCCGACTTTCACTTAGGTCATGATCTCGCGGTTCGTGGGTTCGAGCCCCGCGTCGGGCTCTGTGCTGACTGCCAGCTCAGAGCCTGGAGCCTGTTTCAGTCTGTGACTCCCTCTCTCTCTGACCCTCCCCTGCTCACGCTGTCTCTCTCTCTGTCTCCTAGAAATAAATAAACATTTAAAAAAAAAAAGTATATGGTTTCATGATATATATATATGTATATATATATATACACACACACACACACATATATATATACACATATATATATATCCATCAATACAATAAATTGGGGACACCTGGGTGGCTCAGTTAGTTAAGCATCTGACTTCAGCTCAGGTCATGATCTTGTCATTCCCAA